GCAGCAGCCTCACCAGCACCTGGGGTAGCGGACACGCGAGTACCTGGAGCGGCAGACGCACTAGTCCTAATGCCCGGGTCGGGCGGGACACTCAGGTACTCAGCACCCTCTCCACTAGTAGACATCACATACATGGCAGTGAGAATAGCATCAAAGTCTAGAGCATAAATATCAATCCCCTTCTTCAGGAGATCAACCCAGCGGGGCAGCTCAGTGGCCTGAGGGAACTGAACACGCCAAGCGTCGTTCAGACGAGCGAAGCAACGCTGTGTGGCGTGCGGTCCCCCGCACGGCTGGCCAGTGCGGTCACCAGTGCGAATGACGTACGTGCAGCTAAGGCCACCCCCCCCCCCCCCCCCGTGCTGAGAGTACCACTCACGGACCTCCTGGGGCGACGGAGTGTGCTGCTGGCCCTGGCCATCGCCAGTGCCTCCACGACCACCATCGCCGCTACCACCTCCTCGACCACCCCAACCCCGGCCGCTGCCTCGTCCAGTGCCACCCCCACCACCTCCTCCGCCCCGGCCACCTCCCCCGTCACTGCCGCCACCCCCCCCACTGCTGCCACCTCCCCCACCCGCGCCACCCCCCCCGCCACCACCACCTCCCCCACCACTGCCACCCCCGCTGTCACCACCACCGCCCTTGCCCCCCTTGCCCTTGCCGCTGCGGCGCCCACTCGAAGCAGACGCAGTCCCGACCTTCTCAGCACCAAGGAGGTCGACAGCAGCAGCAGAGGCGACAGAGGGAAGAAGGGGGGAGGGAGAACACCCCTCAAAGAACGGGGTACGGGGGTCACCGCGAGAGGCACCTACAGCGACTATGCTAGCCTCAGCTGCAAGCACTTCCTTCTCGAGGAGGGCAATGGTGAGCTCGGTGGGGCAGCGAGCTAGGAAGTGGTCCCTGACTGCACGCAGAGTGTCAGGGAGGCGCGTGACTAGGTGGTAGAGAGTGAGCCAGAGCGGGGGTGGGTTCTTGGCAAGGAACTCATCAGGCATAGCGGCGCGGAAGCGAGCCTCACTAGTGCGGAGGTGGGTAATGAGATCAGCGACAGTGTGGAAGGAAGCTAAGTCGGGGAACAGGTAGGGAAGAGAGAGACGGCCTAGAGCGGCAGAGGCCGGTGAGGAGTAGCGGGCAACGACAGCAGTGTATAGTGCCTGTGCAGTCTTGTGCTGCCCAAAGTGCTCGCGCTCATCTATCGGCAGAGAGTTGCGAATAGCGAAGCGAGTATGGGCGTCACGAGTCTGCCACTGTGAGCGGGCAGTGCTGTCAGCAGTAGCACCAGGAGCAGTAGCGTGGCCTAAGGCATGATCGTACAGCGAGATGCCTTCCTTGGCAGTGAGCTGTAGGAAGAGGTGTAGGTCATCAAGCCAGGTGTCGAACTTCACTGGGCGGCCCTCAGCATCGAAGGCTAGCACAGGAGGGCTAGCCATGGTAGCAGCAGTAGGAAAAGCAGTAGGAGCAGTAGGGTAGGTAGGGCAGCGCGGCTCGGTACAGGTAGGGCGGCGCGGCTCGGTATAGGTAGGGCGGCGCGGCTCGGGTCGGGCGGCGCGGCTCGGTTCGGGCGGCTCGGTTCGGGCGGCTCGGTTCGGGCGGCTCGGGTCGGTTAGGGCTGGCGGCTCGGGTCGGGCGGCTCGGTTCCGTTAGGGCTGGGCGGCTCTGGTCGGCTCGGGGCCGCTAAGGGAGAGCGCGGGGAGCGGGTGGGGCCGTGAGGGACGAGCGCGGGGCCGACGTGGGTGCTAAGGGCGAGCGCGGGGCCTATCGGGGCCGTGAGGGACGAGCGCGGGGCCAATCGGGGCCGTAAGGGACGAGCGCGGGGCCGACGTGGGCCTCTAAGGGCGAGCGCGGGGCCTATCGGGGCCGTGAGGGACGAGCGCGGGGCCGATCGGGGCCGGAAGGGACGAGCGCGGGGCCAACGCGGGCCTCTAGGGGTAAGCGCGGGGCCGATTCGTGGCCGTTAAGGACGAGCGCGGGGCCGACGCGGGCCTCTAGGGGTAAGCGCGGGGCCGATTCGGGGCCTCTAAAAGCGAGCGCGGGGCCGACTGAGGCCTCTAGGTGCGAGAGCGTGGGGCCGACGGGGCCTCTAGGGGCGTGAAAGCCGAGGCGCCCTAGGGCGCAGGTAGGTAGGTAGGTAGTGGTGGGCCCTAAAAAAAAAATCGGTCCTAGGAAGGACCTGCTCTATACCATGTTGAACAAGAATGAATGAACTAACAGTGAAATGAGTACAAGTATGAAAAACTAGGAATGTGTACCCCCTATAAGCTAACCCACTGTAGCCTAAACAACTACAAGAACATATATAATGTTTGACACCGGGGGCACAGTCGACAGTACAGCGACAGTTCCGACTGACCCAACCCGAACTAGACGAACGGAGAAAGTAGCTGGATTACCTACTCGAGAAAGACTTCATTCGCGCGAGTTCGTCACTCTTCGCAGCACCGATACTATTCACACCAAAGAAGGACGGGGTTTTCGCATGTGCATAGACTGCAGGGCACTGAACAGAGTTACCATCAAATCCCGTTACCCCATCCCGTAAGCCGACCTACTGATCGACCAACTGCGTACAGCCCGGGTTTTCTCGAAAATCGACATTCGAGGAGGTTACCACCAGATTTGCGTCAACCCATCCGACTGCCCCAAGACAGCGTTCCGAACACGCTACGGATCCTTCGAATACACGGTCATGCCCTTCGGACTGACCAATGCCCCCGCCACTTTTCAAATGACGATGAACGAAGCCTTCCGCCCGCTTTTAGATAAGCGCGTCATCGTATACCTCGACAACATACTTATTTACAGCCCCGACAAAGCACGGCACTTACAGGATATTGAAACAGTTTTTAAAATACTGAGTGAGAACGGCCTACTGACCAAAGCTTCTAAGTATGAGTCTTTGCAGGACCGACTGGAGTTTGTGTGACACATTATTTCAGTTGAAGGGGTGGAAATAGATCCGAAGAAGATCGCGACGATTCAAGCATGGCACGCGCCGACCAACTTGACCGAATTGCAGTGTTTTTTGGGGTTTGTCAACTACGTGCGCCGGTTCGTCCCCGACATGGCGAAGCTGACTGCTCCGTTGACCGACCTGTTGAGAAAGGAGGTTGAGTACACGTGGGGGGAGAAAGAGCAAGCTGCCTTCTCGGTCCTCAAAAATATTTTGTGCTCGCCGCCCGTTGTTCACATCGCAGATCCGCACTGTCCGTTCGAGCTCGTCACCGACGCTTGCGACATCGCGGGTTCGAATCTTGATATCGGCGGCTCTTTACTGAAGGTTTGCGCGTTTCGCCTATTTGCAGCACATGTACAACTCGCATGTTGCACTCCCAAGTCAGGGGAGTAAAAATAGAAAATTGTTTTTGAAAGGGTAAAAAAAAAACCACTAATTTGAAGAAATGGTAAGTATACGGATAGTCTGCCTTGATCAGGGTAACTGAAAAAAAGCGACCTACAGAAAGGGTAAAAAGGGTATTTTTCCCTGATATTTTAGGCCCTGGTTTGACACTTCGCTACCTCAATTCATTGTACTCGTAACAATAGGCCACTTTTGGATGACGAGATTAAGGGGGTGCGCTATAGCGACAGTGACTGATGGACCCATTTTCAAAAAATAAGTTTCAGGGATTGGGGTTTTGGCTAGGACTTATACCGCTCTTTACCGTTGAGCTTAGGATAGGAGCCATTGGTCGCTTAAAGGCCAAACCCCGAATTACTCAAAGCTGGTCAACTCGGTAAAACCTAAGTTCGGGAGGAGGTTGGGGGAATGGTTCGGAACAAAAGCGAACGCAATGGTTCGCGAAAAGAATGGGCGAAAGCAAAGTGAATCGCAACACTGGGCCCCAAGCAACCGCCCCAAACTGGAAAGTCAATGCCTTTGCTGAATTACCGTCACGCCACCAAACTGTCATCACTTTTGGGCACAGCCTAAGTCACTCGACAGGCCGAACAGCAGGGGAAAACCGCGACGCTCCAGTTCCTATCTGGTTCCACACAACGAACGACGACGACAGTCATGACGACGACTCCCTCACTCAATGTGAGCGTTTAGGGAAAGAACATAGCTCAAAGAGCACCATAGCATTCAAGATGCCACGCCACTATTAGAATTGGGAGAATAGATGCGAATGTGAGAGCACGCGTCGCGTAGGGAAAACGTCTGGGGGATGTGAGAGCCAGAGCCGCGTAGGGAAAACGTGAGGCGAATGTGACAGCAAGCGTCGCGTAGGGAAAACGTAAGGCGAATGTTAGAGCAAGAGTCGCGTAGGGAAAACGTGAGGCGAATTTGACAGCAACAGTCACGTAGGGAAACCGTGAGGCGAATGTGAGCGCAGGGGTCGCGTAGGGAAAACGTAGGGCAAATGTGAGCGCAAGAGTCGCGTAGGGAAAAGGTGAGGCGAATGTGAGAGCAAGAGACGTGGAGGGAAAACGTGAGTCGAATGTGAGAGAAAGAGACGCGGAGGGAGGGCGAGACGCGCATGCGAGAGCAATATACGCGGAGGTAATACGTGAGGCAAAGGTGAGAGCAAAAAACGCGGAGGTAAAACGCGAGGCGCTTCAGGGAAAGCGAGAAACGCGGAGGGAAAACGTATTCGCAAATGCGAGAGCAAGATGCGCGGAAGCAGGGAAGGGGGAGGCACATGTCTCTGGCAAAAAACGCGGAGGAAAAACGAGATGCGCATGTGAAAGGATGAAACACGTAGAGAAACGAGACGCGGATGTGAGAGGATGGAGGGCGGAGAGATGACGGGAGGCGCATGCGAGAGGAAGAAGGGGGCGAGGGAAACGTGAGGCGCATGCGAGAGGAAGAAGAGAGGAGGGAAAACGTGAGGCACATGCGAGGGGAAGAAGAGAGGGGGGGGGGGGGGAATTGCGGGGCGCATGCGAGAGGAAGAAGAGGCAAGGGGAAACGTGAAGCCCATGCGAGAGGAAGAAGTGAGGGGGGGAAACGCGAGGCTCACGCGAGAGGAAGAAGAGAGGAGGTAAACGTGAGGTGCATGCGAGACCTGCTTCCCCCCATCCCCCTCCCTGCGTCCCCCCATCCTCTTCACTCTCTCCCCTTATCCCAAGCCCGGCTTCCCCCCATCCGCATTTCTGCTTCCCCCCCTCCCCTTCCCTGCTTCCCCATGTCCCCTTCCCTGCTTCCCCCCATCCTCTTACGCGCGTCCCCCCTTCCCCTTCCCTGCTTCCCCATGTCCCCTTCCCTACTTCCCTCTTACTTGCTTTCCCATGTCCCCTTCCCTGCTTCCCCCCATCCTCTTACTTGCTTCCCCATGTCCGGTTACCTGCTTCCCCCCCTCCCGTTCCCTTCTTCCCCATGTCCCCTCACATGCTTCCCCATGTCCCCTTCCCTGCGTCCCTGCAGTCCATTCAGGCCAATGCACTCCCCCCACCTCATTCTCTCTGCATCCCTTCACATCCCCCTCCCCATCCCCCTCCTCGCCACCAGGCGCGCGCCCTGCTAGCATGCCATCGGTCGTTGCGCTTCCGTGGCACCTCTGTGGCGCGCACATCGCCCTGTGACGCTAGCTACTACACCGCACATCACCGTCAGCTGCTATCCATTGATGGTGGGTGGATGGGTGGGTGGGTGGGTGTGTGCATGTCTATGTGCATGCATGTCCACGTGCATGCTCTGCTATGTGCATGAATATCTACGTGCATGCACATCTATGTGCATGCATGTCTATGCGCATGAATGTCTATGTGCATGCATGTTTATGAGTGTACATGTCTATGCCCACTCTTGTCCATGTGCATGCTTTTCCATGTGCCTGCTTGTTTGCTTAATCTCACTGCCTTGCTTGCCCTCATTGCCATGCTTGTCCTCACTGCCATGCTTGCTGCATCCCTGCAGGGTCTCCTCGCCCGCCACCCCACTTTGCTCTCCCGTCTGTTGCCACTTCTGCCAGTGCGCTCCTCGCTCTTCCTGCTGCCCATTTATTCCCGCCCCGCTACTTACCCTCACCCCGCTGCATTCAGGACAGAGTCTATTCCCCCTCTGCTTCCCCCCTTCCCCTCCACAGTCTAGTGCACATGGTGGGGGCATGACAGGGTGGGGGGATGCTTCGCTACTTAGGAACATGCACTAGCGATCCGCCTCCCTGCACCATTCCCTACCTCTTCCCCCTCCACTACCCCCCCTTCCCCTTAGTGCTGAATCTCGCATCCCTCCTGCTGCTCCCTCCTCTTTGTCCTCCAGCAATCTCGTGGAACACACTCCAACCCCCTGGCACCCGTCGCACACTCCTCCGTGTACTACCCACTACGCTTCAGATCTCAGCAGCATCTCATCCGCCATCTACTTGGTGTTAGGTTGGAGGGGATGGTACAAAGAGGAGGGGGAGAGCGCCGAATGTGCGAAGAGCGGAAGGTGAGTGGTACCACATCTCCCATGTACCACCTCCCCCCGGTATCACCTCCCCCAGGTGCAGAGGGGAGATGAAGAAATATGGGGGGAAACTGAAGAAAGCAGGGGGGAGATGAAGAAAGCAGGGGGGAAGATGAAGAAAGCAGAGGGGAGATGAAGACATATGGGGGGAAACTGAAGAAAGCAGGGGTGAGATGAGGAAAGCAGGGGGGAGATGAAGAAAGCAGGGGTGAGATGAAGAAAGCAGGGGTGAGATGAAGAAAGCAGGGATGAGATGAAGAAAACAGGGGGGAAACTGAAGGAAGCAGGGGGGAGATGAAGAAAGCAGAGGGGAAACTGACGAAAGCAGGGGGAATATGAAGAAAGCAGGGGTGAGATGATGAAAGCAGGGGGAATATGAAGAAAGCTGGGGGTACCCTGAAGACAGCAGGGGGAATTGAGCACGGGGAAAACCGAAGAGAGGAGGGGGGAATCTCAAGGGTGCTGGGGGGAAACTGAAGAGAGCAGGGGGGGAAGAGGAGAGAGAAGGGGCAAATTGAAGAAAGCAGGGGGGAATTCACGTTTCACGTTTCTCTTCTTCCTATCGCGCCTCACGTTTCCCCTCCTATCGCCTTCCTCAGCACCTGCGCCTCACGTTTCCCCCACTCTCTTGTACCTCTCACATCCACCTCACGTTTCCCCTCCTCTCTTCTTTCATTCGCGTGCGCCTCGCGTTCCCCCCCCTCTCTGCTTCCCCTCGCATGAGCCTCACCTTTCCCCTCCTCTTTTCTTACTCTCGCACGCGCCTCACGTTTCCGCTCAACATCTCTCCCCCTCTCATGCGCCTCACATTTCCCCTCCTCTCTCCCTCCTCTCTCATGCGCCTGACGTTTCCCCTCCTCTCTTCATCCTCTCTCATACGCATGACGTTTCCCCCCCTCTCCCCTTCCTCAGGCATGCGCCTCACATTTCCCCTTCTCTCTTCTTCCTCTCTCATGCGTCTGACGTTTCCCCTCCTCTCCTTTTCCTCTCACATGCGCCTCCCGGTTACTCGTCCTCTCGTCCTCCTCTTTACTGCGCCTCACGTTTCCCCTCCTCTCTTCCTCCTCTTTCATGCGCCTGACGTTTCCCCTCCTCTCTTCTTCCTCTCGCATGCACCTCTCGTTTCCCCTCCTCTCTTCTTCCTCTCGCATGTGCCTCACTTTTCAAACCCTGTCTTCTTCCTGAAGGGGATGGGGGGAAGCAGGGAGGGGGATGGGGGGAAGCAGTACAAGGGATGGGGGGAAGCAGGGAAGAGGATGGGGGGACGCGGAGGGAAGGGGATGGGGGGAGCATGGGAAGGGGATGGGGGGAAGCAGGGCACGGGATGGGGGGAAGCAGGGAGGGGGATGGGGGGAAGCAGGGAGGGGGATGGGGGGAAGCAGGCGTGAGGATGTAGGGAAGCAGGGAAGGGGATGGGAAGAAGCAAGGCAATGGACATGGGGAAGCAGGGAAGGGGATGGGGGGAAGCAGGGCAGGGAAGGGGGGAAAGTAGGGCACGGGATGCGGGAAAGCAGGGAAGGGGATGGGAAAAAGCAGGGAAGGGGGGGGAAGGAAGGCGATTATTAGCGGGAGGGATAAGAGGGAGTAGGGGGAGAAAACGTAGGGTGACACGTGTGCGAGGTGGGAAGGGAGGCGGGAGGGAAGGCGAGGTCGACGAGCAGTGGATGGCAGGGCGACGGGGAAAGCGAGGGCGACGGGGAAAGCGAGGGCAACGGGGATATAATTGACGGGGAAAGCAAGGGCGACGGAGAGAGAATTGACGGGGAAAGCAAGGGCGACGGAGAGAGAATTGACGGGGAAAGCGAGGGCGACGGAGAGAGAATTGACGGGGAGAGGATCGGACGAGCGGAAGGGAGGGCGACGAGACGAACGGACGGCGACGGAACAGAATCTCAGGCGACGGGAAGGGTAGGCGACGGGAAGGGAAGGCGACGGGAAGGGAGGCAGAGGGGCGCCCACGGGGCGACGGGAAGGGAGCGCGACGGGAAGGGAGAGCGACGGGAAGGGGCGACGGGAACAAGGGAGGGCAACCGGCGGATCTTACGCGGCAGCAGCACATTGCATTCAAGAAGTTGAGATCGTGCTGCGATGGTGGGGAGGTGCGCGCTAGTGCGGAAATTGGAAAGCACGGCGCTGCTGGCCACCTTGCTTCATGCAAGTCGGAATCAAATTTCACTGCGACTGTTGGGCAAGGGAAGTTTGATGAAGGGAGCGGCTGCACTGTCGAGTGAGTTATTCAATCAAGGTTAGACTGGATGTTCAGGATAGCAGATGTAAGGACTGGTTAGATTTATCGCCGTCTGCCGGCAACAACCCTCGCCCTCCCCCTTTCGACCTCCGCCCCCGCGCTACCATCCCTCCGGCCCGGCCTACAGCGCCCGATAGATCCCTCGACGCGCGTGGTTCCGCCGTGCGCGGAACAACGCACTACTGCGCGTGCCTAACGCCCTCTCCTATCCGCCGTACGCCGCGCAAGGCTCGTCCACGGGACTATTTCCCCCAATAACCTTGTCTCTGCAGGGGAAATGTCGTCTGCGCGATTTCCACTTCCGCCGATCTTTGTCGCGGCGCTCGGGAAAAATACACAGATTGCGGGGTTTCCTCTCATTGGTAAAGAGATTGGGAACAGCGGGAGAGCATGGGCAGAGACTGAAGTCAATTTGGAAACCCGAATTACAAGCACGTAGGCTAGACTTCCCTGATGCCTACCCCTGCGTGCTCGAATTTTCGAAGGGGTTATGCTGCACAACTCATTCTGGGCTTGTCGAAACTCGCACAGGCCAACGCATGGGCCCTGTTCGGTAGCCCCCCCAGTCACACTGCGGTTGGTGCAGGTGCTCTTCCTCGGCCCAATGTCGATCACCTTAAAGCCTACCGAACCGTTATTAGAACACCATACCTGCCCAGTGCAAGTTGGCTACCGAACGCGTGAAAAACCCAGTCCGAGTGAAGTTGAGGACGCTACCACTAAAATGCTTGCTCATGCAAGCTCGACCGCCAGTGAGAGTCAACCCCATTTCTACTTTCCAGTTCCACTCAGGCAGGCCCGCTCTGAGTGGCACGCTGAAGGGGAAACGCTGCATTAGTTTTGAATCGGGTCAAATTATGTTTTTCAGCCTGCTCGCTCAAACAATGAGAGATCGTGCCCGTTCGTGCATTTCTTTTATCCATTACGGTGTTATATTTGGCGGGCTGTTTTTTGCTTGTGAGCTGGCCAGCTTCGTACAATAGTAAAAGTTTCGACCAGTAATTTCTCAAGTACACACTGTAATTTCTTGCGTTTGAGAACGAGACTTCCTTTCAGTGTGAGTGGACACCCCAAGGTTACGAATCATGTCGTAGGCGTCCCCGGTTTGAGTAAGCAGTGTGACTGAACGGCTACCGAACGTGGCCTTGGCAAGCAGGTAGGGACTTCTCGACGTAATTTGGCAGAGTTAAGGTGCGGGGGGCACAGTGTTACTCTAAATCGTGAACCCTAGAAAGCTGATTTATATTTTAACCCCAAACCCTCTTGTTTTTCCCAACCCTAACATTGACAAATCGGAAAGATAACTAGGCATGGTTGGAGGGATCACCCGAAGACGACACAAGTGATCGGGTCAAGCTCGGTACAACATACGCGTACGGAGAATATTAAATTTTCTTGACAGCCCCTCTACTACATTGTCCTCTCGCTGGAATCAATCTAGCCAAGCGGGAGAAGGACAAATATCTAATTCCGAACCGAAACCCATGCTACAGCAGGAGCACGACCGAACTTACGAGCATGCAAAGTGCTGAGATCCCGTGGAACACGAGAGTATTCGTTCCTGAAGGACAAGATCAAGACAGTGAAAGCATATAAGACCACAGAGAAACGAGCAGGAAGTTGCAACGCATACATCTAGCATCCCATTCCGTCACACGGAAACCCACCAGACTTTGGCTTGTTAGCGTTGGTGAAGAGGACACTCATGTTGGTGGGGAAAAGTAAAGCGTCGACGGCGTGGATGGCGTATCCGTGCTCAGCGACAATGTCAGCAGTCACAACCTTGCCCACCGCAGCGTCACTTCCATAGGCGTTCGCAGGTGCGGGAGCGGGAGGGACGAGTGCAGGAGTGGGGGCTGCAACGGCAAAAATCTCAGCATGAGAGGTGTGTGCGTTGCCGCTGGAGGGAATAGCCAGCGCGTTGACGCCGGCCGGTTTCTTGCCTGTCACCGTGATTGCACCGGTGACGTTGTTGTAATAGAGGAAGATGGGCTCTGGCTTGTGGCTCGTGAGCCTGTAGTACGTGTTTGCGGTCAACTGCATGTGGAGTGGGAGAGATGATTTAAACAAGGACAGTCAACGTCTCGATCGTCGTGTCGTATTGCTGCTCGTGAGAGAAGGCGTGCTAGGAGCATGAGAATTAAACCAATGTCGATCTGGTATTTGATAACAATAATACTCTGACACTCGGAGGACTTACATTTTTCTTGATAAAGGTGCTGTTGACCTCCTCTATAGCCAGGTGGTAATGCGCCAAGTGATAAAGCACGTTCCATGCGCCTTGCGACATGGCCAGCAGAGCGGTTTCGTTAGCTTTCGTGTCGACGACGGTGCTCAGAGCCTCCTTGACCGACGGGTCGGGTGAGGTCGAATTGATATACGCATCACGCGCAGCCTTCCACGCCTCGTTGGTGGCAACGAAGGCACTGCCTTTCATTTCAGAAAGCATCTTCCATCCGCCCGTGATATTGTGAATCGTCACGGCCCAGCTTGTGAACAGCACGTCCTCAGCAAGACCATTGGCGCTGTGAGCCGAAACTGGAGCCGCTGTCAGGCTGACGGCCAGAAGCAGCAAAGCTGAAGCGGGGATCAGAATTCTCGCCATAGAAAGACGAAGATGTCTGATCAGGGACGAAAACAGTGATCAAGAAGGGAACAACTAACAATGACGGACTTGCTGGGAGGGACAATCATCATATATGCAATATGAAGTCCACAGATTGGTTGAGACCACACTGCCAGCCGGGCCAATGGGGTACGGAGAAGCCCGTACGTGATCCACGCCCAGGTGGGCGCTGACGTGGCTCGTAGGGGCAACAGACGCATCCGCGTCGTACAATCCACCCATCCAACCTTAGCCCAGCTCTAACTTTTCAAGCACACAAGGCAGGAGAGCATGTCACTAGGTGGCTGGGACACACGGCGGATCAAAGTCGAAGCGCTGGTACGTGAGATTGCGAAGAACGAATAAGGAAGCGGGCTGTTTGACTCTCGACCACTTAGAATTGGGACACCGTGGCAGAGAATATCGTTTGTCGGCTGAATAAAAATTATGCATGTCCAGTCTTCGCTGGTTCTATACCTGTCGTACAGGCTTGTCGTACATCGTACATCTTCACTCGTGTCGCGTCAACACGTGGAACGAGGGAATTCAGGAAAGGGCATTTATCTGGTACCTCTAATCCGAGTCGCTCGCACTCGAAGTAAACCACGTGTCGCAATCGTATACAAACTTATCTTGCCATCGCCTCCATCGTAACCATTATGCCTGAACCGTCAGAAACATTGCCTAGCATATGGTAATGAACAGTGCATCCGGAACGCCTAGCAGGTAACAGAACACTTCAAGGACAAATCCAGAATTACCGAGTCGGCCCTAAAACTATAACCACTTTCACCTGATTGGTCGAAAGTTTTGAGTGGGTTTTAGACGCGATTGGTTCTCAATTTCCCCAACGAACATCCTTCTGGGGTTTTCCGAACCTACAATTTTTGGGTTGCGAAGCAACCTATTACGATCGTTATGTACAATTTTTTTTTTCAATCCTCCATACTTCAAAAAAATAAAGGATGGAAAAAATATAGTGAACGGTACTAGCTAAGTGACTGACTGTTATGTATTTGCCGCGTTAATTTACCACGTGCTGAACCACATTCCTTCTCATTTCCTAGTTTGTTTTGACTGAACCTATATTTCATGAGTTGCCAAAATGATGTACTGTGAACGCGTAACTGTTTATTTCGTGATGCATATGTCTGATGCTGTTATGCGTGAAGTAAATGCAAATGCATAAGTATAATGCATATACTACCGGTAGTGAAATTAATGCATAGCATGATGGAAATGCGTAACAGTTAATTGACGCAGACCCTATGCTACCGCGTCCCCTGCCTAGCATGGGGGGGAGCTCAATAGCATAGTTTCTGAATCATCCAACTGTTACATGAAACAACACAATCTGTGTGATCTAAAAAAAGGGTCAATTCTATCATATCCAGTTCGAATGGACACACTCACTGAGTGCGCAAAGAACCTTCTCGGAAATGATAGTTTGATCCCAATTTTTAAAACCCACAGACATGTGTTATTTATGCAATGAAAACATGAATGAAAACGCATACACACACAACACAACGCATACCCACACAATTTAAAAAGACATTTAGCATACTAATACCTTTCATCTGTCTCACACTCGTTGTTCTCACTCTCGCGTAAGTTTGTACTCGTTTTCATGGTCTGTTCAAATGTCTAATAATTAACCCATTAACTCTTTAAACTCCTCTGAGCATCTTCCCCGCTGTTCCAAATCGCTCACAGCTTCACCATCGCTGCACAAAAAAGAGGGGGCAATTTCCAAGTGTAAGAAAAAATTGATATACGTCAATCAAATTACTACTACAATGAGCACATGTAAATAACCACAATAAGAAGGGTGCTCACATCCTGTCTCTTTTTGGCGGGTGTTGACGAAATCGGTGTGCTCGATGTGTCAAAGTTCGTCGGAGCGTCGCTCGCCTGCGTGATCGTCCAGATCTCCAAGATGGTCTTGCTCACGCCTGCTCCTTCAGGACGAAAGTGGACCTTCAATAACAATGAACAGTACATGTAGAATAATTTGAGTTAGAGAGCTATCAGTAACCACCAAAAATGCATATTGATGTGCACATTTAATAAGTATACAAAAATCTTAGTAAATGTTAAAAACTAACAACTAAATTCACATACCTTCACATGCCAATGGCCTCGAAGCGTGTCCAACACGCTTTGCCGCTCGTCCATTGTCATGGAGTGGAAATCCGAAACCTGAAAACTTGGGAACAGTCGTCCCAAAAGTTCCGGCTGAATCTCCAAACCCTTCGCCTGCGTCGTGAACGAATCTGAAAATGAAACATAAGAGAACTTAGTCAATGTACAGTACCTAAATTTTGTGGAAAATAAAGCAAGCGCCACAATGAAAATGCTAGATATGATGCTTACCACTCTCGTGAACAACAAGAGTTGTTGTCACGTTATCGAACGCGCGGACTGATGTCGCTCTGTGGACGCGACATCTGTGAACCTCCGAAGCCGCGGAGGTGAAAACAGGCATTCCACAAATGGAATCTCCTACTCCAGCAGCGCAGACAACTCGACTACTGTGCACTGGGTCTCTGAGGTCTGCTGCAAGTGTTGCTATCTTCTCTTCGTTTGTTACCATCACCAATGTGTCCACATGGGACATCCTGATCATTCAAACAAAAAAAAAGGCTATTGAATATCATGTTTGCTAGTAACGGCTTACTTGCGCAAATTTAGATAACTTACAAGCTCACAAGACCGACGTCTTGTAGCTCGGTGACTGGTGCATCCGTTGTGACGGATGGTGGAACAGGATCGAGAATGACAATGTCCGAAGGCACAGTCGTCGTGAAAACAGCAGACTTGAGATACACGTTGCTGATGAAGGCAGGAACATCGCTAGCATCCGGGTGATCAGCAAAATATCTCTCACAGCTGGAGTTGAACCTGATGGCGACATCCCCGAGCGCTATCAAAACGCTCTTCATCGTTGAGTCATGGATGCCAGCTGTGAACTTTGGAAGCGCGCGGTTTGACTCGAAAGACGAGATCTTGAGCCTGACAGAAATGCAAGGGATCTGGAAATAAAGGAGGTGAATGGTACAACTGAAGTGAAAACATAGAATACATGCAGAGAGACATACCATGATTGTTAATTACAATGTATGGCATGAATGATTTGAGATAGAACGAAAGACAGAAATGTGTATCACAAATTACAAAAGTAGGTGACAATTACAATACAACAATCACATGAAGAAAGATGTAACAAACATCGTCGCAATTCTTACCCTAGACTTATCCTCGCCCCCGTAGAAGCTCAAAAGCGTGGGAGTGGGCAAGTTTCCCACGTTCAGCCGAGGAGGCCCGCTGACCTCGATTAGGTGTGAGCACCGATGCGTCCAGTTGAGTTGCGTGCGAAGCCCTCCAACCAGAATCTTGTACGTATTCAGTGCATAGATTGTAAAACTAAAACGTGTAGAATCACATAGACAAGTCCAAACAAAACTTACCAAGTGGGGGGTGCGCAAGCACCGACGGTGCGATGGACTTCATAGACTTTCCCGATGGAAAGCCTCATCAAAAATTCATTCATAGCTTCCACATCACATCGACCAGGCCCCCTGGATTGTGGCCACATCACCACCTCTGCCACAGTGAGATCCTCATCAACGACGTAAATCTTTCCGGGTAGAAATTTCGCAACATTCTTCCCGAAACCATTCTTCTTGCCTATCACCATGACTTTCACATGAAAATCGACTCGGGGACGTCCTGCTTGAACCTTAGCATCAACCCATTTGAGTTTAACCTCTACAGATTCCTGCATATGAAACAAGTTTAACAAGTGAGAATAGCACTAACGAGATATAAAACCACGATAACCACAATGATAACACAGTATATATAACGTATAAAGAAACTCACCTCCCCTGAGTCGTGCGGAAATGGCAGAGGATCTGTCGTAAGCACATGTATATAACAAAACAATACGTGTATTGAAAATGTTGAGCACAATGTACAGTATGATGCGAAAGAATAAACCGATGATCAATCATTGATGCATGCATGTAACATGTAAGATGATGAATATGATGTATGATCTGATACAGATGATATATCGCCATGATGTTATTCAACAACAGCGTACACAGGAAAATGATCAGAAAAATATGTTTCACCAACATATACTTTTAGACGTGTTTTGAAACAATTGCTCCAAATATGATCGATAAGTGTAGCATTCACCGTCGTAGGATCAACAATGAATTGCGTAAAACCATGGAGTTCAAAAAAACACCGATATTTGGGATGCGTACCAGCATTCATATCGACATTGAAATCGCCCAAAAAAATCATGTTACGATTTGTATGCTTAGCGATGATCGATGTGATCATATCAAAAAGAACGTTATGATTACGTTGATTGGTTGGATTACGATAGCAACCCGTAATAACTACATCTTCATCATTGACGTTGATGATAAATGTTAATAATTCGACTTTTGAATTTTCTACATACTGTACGTTTCTGATTGGAATATGATGATATAAAACAATCCCCCCAGATGGGCAATCAAAACGAACAATATTAAATATGTCGTTTGTCAAATTTGGTAACTGATCATTTTCGCCCAAGTGTGTCTCGAATAGAATCATAAAATCAAATCCACCAAGATTGTTGATATTAACATCTCTGTAATGTCCTCGAAAACTTCTTACATTTTGAAATGCGAACTTAATCAATGATGATTGTTGAATGATCTCACCAATCGGTATTGGATCCAAAATAAGGGGTCTCTTACGTAGACGGCACATTTCCGCTACTACACGAGAATCGGTTTTAATGCATGCTTCTGAAAAGCTTCGAAGGAACAATCGAGAAG